GAATGGGAGAGCTGGTGGGTGCTGGAAGGGGCAGAAGCATCCCACCATGGGGCAGCATCCCACTGCAGGGAGCATCCCACTGCAGGGAGCATCCCACCACAGTGAGCAGCCCACCATGAAGGAGCATCCCACTGCAGGGAGCATCCCACCATGGTGAGCAGCCCAATGTGGGGGAGTAGCCCACCATGAAGGAGCATCCCACCATGAGGGAGCATCCCACCATGAAGGAGCATCCCACCACGGTGAGCAGCCCACCATGAAGGACCATCCCACCATGAGGGAGCATCCCACCATGAGGGAGCATCCCACCATGAGGGAGTAGCCCACCATGAGGGAGCAGCCCACCATGAAGGAGCAGCCCACCATGAGGGAGCAGCCCACCATGAGGGAGCATCTCCCTGTGGGACAGCATCCTGGTCCAGCCCCAAGGCAAGGAGATGCTGCTGGGAAGCTTCAAGAGCAGGGACAAGCAAGGAGAGCAGAGGCACAGAGGTGTAGGAGAACAGGAAAGACCCAGAAAGAAGTGATCGACTTTTGATTTTTCAGACTTCTAGCTACCCTGCAACGCCCAGGGCAGGGTCCACCCGGGGCCCCCACACCCGGGGGGGCCAACACCTCCCCTACCACAGGAGGTATCTCAGGCACATCTAAGGCATGGCAGGAGTTGTCTTTGCCTCCCAAATCGCCTCCCTTCCCTCCCTACGGCTTCTCCCACCAGCGCGGGAGGTCGAACGACGGCGAAGGAAAAGCCTGGAGCAGATGGGACAGGGACAAACCCTCATGCACTACCACCCAACGCTGGCACAGGGGCACGAAGCACCAACCACGACACACGACTCACTTGCAGAGCTGAAGGGAACCACAGGCGGGAAAGGTTGGGAAGGGGGAGGTTTTGTTTTGCTACAGACACGGAGACGCCGGCGCCCGCGCTGCCACCGGGGCTGGGAAAGCACAAGGACCAGGCACCGAGGGACATCGTGCTCAACCTCACCTGTGGCTGTTGCAGCTCACAGCTTAAAAATTAAAAACAAAACAGAACGAAAACCCAACAAACAAAATCGGAAACCAGATTTTGGAAAGAAACCAACAAAACAGTATCACTCCAGGAAGGTCACACACACCCTTAGCAGTTACGTTGCTCAGCACAGCTCTGGTGCTTTAAATATGGGACAAACAATTTTGGGGAGCTGAAAAGTGGCACAAATTTATTCTTTACAGATATTTTTTTTCTTCTTTTGTTTTTTTTTTCCCCTTTTTTTTTTTTTTTTTTTTTTTTTTCTCTTCTTATTCCCTCCCTACCAG